ACGAATCTCAGATTCACCTCTGTCCAACATCACCATCACATGAAAGCAACTGTTCTCATGACAGTGATGTTGGACTGGTGTGTACAGGTTAGAATTAATTTCCTTTAATTGAGTAAAATCATTTTTGTATTTTGTAAGGTTTTTTTTTTGTCATTTTTTTGAAGAACTTTTCTTTCTTTCTGTCCTTCAGTATTTCTTTGTTTCATTCTCTTTGTTCAATATACAGACCTTGTAAATGTGAGGCTGGTTGGTGGTCACAGTCGCTGTGCTGGTAGAGTGGAGGTTCTTCATAGAGGTCAGTGGGGAACAGTGTGTGAGCATTTCTGGGAGGGGAACAGTGTGTGAGCATTTCTGGGATATGGTTGATGCTGCAGTGGTGTGTAGAGAGCTGGACTGTGGAGAACCTGTAGATGTTCTGGGTGATGCTCATTTTGGATCAGGATCAGGACCAATCTGGCTGAGTACTGTCATGTGTACTGGATCAGAGTTTACACTGAAGAATTGTGGATCAGCAGGATGGGGTAAACCTGTCTGTGATCATCGTCAAGATGTTGGAGTCATTTGTTCAGGTGAATGAGATTAATCTTCAAAACATTTGGGAGCACACAAACACACCTACTTTCTATCTAAATAGGGCTTATGTGAATTAAGTGGTTAAATGAACATTTATTTAAAAGGGTCTTTTTTTTTGTGATCTCTGTGATTGGACAACGCTGTGCAGTACCAGCAGAGTCTGTCAGTTTCCAGTGATGGTCCACTGCATCCTCCACAATACAGAACTCAGAACTGGCCCAACAGTGCTGCGCAAATTGTGTTCAGCAAGATGTGATTTACACAAGATTTGTGTGCATGTTTGTGCGTGCAAGTAAATTGTGCTTTGGGAGGGTGCAATTGATTAGTGAATTTTGCTCTTTTTATTTTGGTAATTTAATATCATGTAATGTTTTTGGGCAAAAATATATCCTGATGCGATGTTGATTTTGTCATTGCTCTACAGATTGGCACAATTTCATAAAACTAAAAATATGTTTATTCAAATTTTGTGAGTATTAAATATACTATTTAAATTGCCACTCTGCATAAATCTATTTTGTGTGGTTTTATTTAATATGAACAGATCATAAACATTCCAGACTTATTAACGGATCTCACCTTTGCTCTGGGAGAATAGAGGTGGTTCATGGGAACACATGGCACACAGTGTGTGACGCTGCCTTTGACCAGCAGGATGCAGAGGTTGTGTGTAGAGAGCTGGACTGTGGGGCTCCTGTACAGGTGCTGGGAGCAGCTGCTTTTGGCAAAGGAGACGCTCAGATGTGGACACAAGAGATTCAGTGCAGAGGAAATGAATCTCATATATATTTTTGTCCACATACATCTTTAAGCAAAAACAACTGTTCCCATGACAATGATCTTGGAGTTATATTTTCTGGTTGAGTATATTTTCCATGTATTTGTGTGTGTGTGTGTGTGTGTGTGTGTGCGCGTGTGTGCATATGGGAGGTAATGCAATTTACTTAATCTGAATTTTCAGAAGTAAAAAGTATGCATTACTTTTTTATGCACACCATTATATCTGAGTTAAGTTACTTTTCAATTAATTGATTACAAATATACTTTTTTACGTTACTGAAATTCTCTCTTCTTCATGTTGTCATGCAGACAACAATACACTAAAATGTGCAAAAACACACTAGACAGAACGTGCATGGTTTATTCTGTATTGTGTTTTTAGTTACTAAATATGTGTCACTTGCACTGTTGTCAAACATAACCTGACCGGATTGAGCATTAATTTGCTAACTAATTATACAAGATTTCAAACAATACCATGCCATTATCAACAACCAGTATTTATAAACTAGGAGAAACTGATTCCAATTTGAGACAAACACAACAGAACTTTAGCAAGTCTATATTGCAAAAGTAAAGTAACATAAATTTAACATGATTAGTTACTATTTTGGGGATTTAATAAAACATTTTAAAAGTAACAGCACTGTTTGTGTTATGCTAGCAGAGTTTTACTGATCTATTCACTTGTCTCTTGTTTTACACTGTTTAAAATAATTCTCATGTTTTGTCCAGGTTACACTGATCTCAGGCTGGTAAACAGTTCAGACTCTTGTTCTGGAAGAGTGGAGCTTCAATATAGCAGTAAATGGGGCACAGTGTGTGATGCATGCTGGGATATGAGAGCTGCCAGTGTCCTCTGTAGACAGCTGAATTGTGGGATTGCTGTGTCTGTTGTGGGATCAGACTGGTTTGGAGAGGGAAGTGGTGAAATCTGGGCTGATGTGTTTGATTGTGACGGGAATGAAACAAAACTCTCAGAATGTTCCATCTCTTCATGGAGTCGAGCTGAATGTTCTCATAGACGAGATGTTGGAGTCATCTGCTCTGGTAAACTTATTTAATCAAGAGAGTCATGAATGCTTATACTGAAAAAAAAAAATCAATTAGCAGTACCATTTCTGTAACCTGTAACTACAATACTTTGTTCAACATTAAATCTTCCTTCCAGATTCCTCTCTGGCTCTTCATGATGGTCTGGTGCGGTTATCTGGAGAGAGACAGTGTGAGGGGGAGGTGGAGGTTTTCATTCATCAGGGGGAGACAGTGTGAGGGGGAGGTGGAAGTTTTCATCCATCAGGTCTGGAGGAGAGTTCTGCTGGACTCCTGGAGTCTCACTGAATCCTCTGTGGTCTGCAGACAGCTGGGCTGTGGCTCTGTGCTGAACTTCTACGGCTCCTCTTCATCCAGTCCTGAACACAGTCATGAGTGTGTGACGGGCTTCCAGTGCTCTGGGAGTGAAGCTCATCTGGGGAACTGCAGCTCTCCACAAACTCTCAACTGCAGCTCCACACAACAGCTGTCAATCACCTGCCTTGGTGAGAAAAACAACATCTCTGCAGATTCTTCAGTTGTTCGTGATCAATAATGTGTTTTTCTTTCT